AGTGTTCTGCATTAAAATATAAGTATCGATTTGTAATTGTCGATTTTTTGTGACAATCATTATCTGCGTTATCTAAATGGCATTCACGAACTACTATACATAATGCTATTAAATAGGCACGCTCGCCGTAGCATTCGTAAACATAAGATTCCCAATATTTTTAACGGGTTTTCACTATACACGTTCGACTCGTAACAAGTTTCCACAGTTTTTCCATTTTAACTCTATTTTTGAACGAGTGCAGTTCGATTACTACCTGTTTTTTACCCGAGTGCAGTTCGACTATTACCTTTTTTCAACCCAAGTGTAATTCGACCATTTCTTTGTAGGTAATAAGTGCAATTCGACTATCCCAAATTTCTTTAGTAACATAATTGGCAAATTTTTGTCTTGAGGTTGGAGATAGTATATTACGATATTACTTATTATTTGTATGAAAAGTTGATTAGATGTTATTAATTAATCTTTGGTTCTAAATTACAGGTACTTATAAAACAATCAATTTAAATCTAACCTTTAAACAGTCGATTTAAATTATTTTTTTATATTTATATATTTTTGCTAATTTAATACATTGTGATATTTTAATAATACAAATTCAATGATACGATAGTACAATGGTGTTTAGTCACTTATTCTAATTGCCTATAAATGTAATAAAAATATAGTAACGTATTATTATTTTGTTATTTATTGTTTTATTATTAGTTTATTTTTTATGATATATTATTTATTTCTTGTACTAATTGCATTCTTTGTGTTAACTATACATTCTCTTTTATTTTATAGTTAAAATTATTTTTTATTTCAAAATAATTTTTACCTCTTAAGCCAAGAAGAATTTTAAAATTTCTTTTTTATTACCTTATGATGATTTATGGGTGAAGAAAAATGTATTACTAGTTATAAAATTGTTTAAATCTCAAACATTTTTTAGATATTAATGCGGTGATGGAAAATACGGATTCCATTTAATAACCATTCATCTTGTCATTATAATTAGCATTGTTTAGTAGTGATAAAAATTAAAGAGAATTTTTGAAGATATTGATTGAATGAAATATCACTATTAAATCACTTCTAAATTAAAGATTACTAAATTGACAATAATCAAAGAAAAAACCTTTATTAAGTAACTCCACGAATATTTTTAAATATCAAGAGTATTTTTTCAAGGAGTTCTTGGATATACTGGATGATTATTTTATAAAACAATATTTATTGTTTCAAAATGTATTAACATTTTTGAAATTTTTGTTTTTTATATATAGTTTTCAGTCGAAATAAAAAAATATTTTTTAAATATTTTTTATTGTTATAATATTTATGTTTCTTACTTTTTTAAACTACAGTATATATTTATAATTTCATGTTCTGAAGTAGAATATTTCTTGAATTATTTTAATACATTAAAATCGAAATTCAGACAAGTAGTTTATGAGTTATGAGTATTTAAATTTTAGGGTGGTATGAGAAAACTCCACAAAATATTGGTCTCTTACTCTAAGACAAATTGTTAGACGTATCCTATTTTTTTTACCGGTTTTTAATTTGCTCAGGTAAAATTTGCTAATTGGTGTTTTCTTATATTTAAAAAAAAATATTGTTAGAAAAAAAATATTTGTTGCCAGCTATGATTTCGAATCATTTTATATTTTTATATTTATTTAAGTTGCACTGTTTTTTTTTATTATTATTTTAAGGCATTCATTACCTTTGAATTTGATTTTTTGCCTTAAATTTGTAATATGGGTAATTTTACATACCGTAATAGTACATTTATTTTTTATTTTTACTTATTGAAATTAATTGCTAAATAGTTACGGACATAGAAATTAATAATGGATTGTAAACAAATTTTATACATAATTAAGAATATGTTTTATTTAATCATATATGATAAATCATCATTTTTTGGAATAATTTTAAATTTAAAAGCTTGTATAAACATAAAAATTGCATAACTATTGAAATTGGTTTTTTTATTTACTTTATTTTTACGTAAAAAAAATGTTATAATTATATTTTAAATTTTACTGGAAAATTTTTTTAACATTGTATGTTTCAAAAATTAAAATTTCCCAACTTATATTAAAAGAGATGTTTCATAAGTAAAATTTTAGTGTATTTTATATTTGTTCAATTTTAAGATATTTTAGATAAGTCATGTTTCATTATATTTTTTTTGCCAAAAGACTAGTGACATTCGTCAATGATAGCAGTAATATATAATATTAAACAAATATTACCTCGCTCAAAGCATATAACATAATATAATGTTACATATATTATAAACAAAAAGTTAAGTACAGTGATGTATTCTATCTTCAATTGAAAAATTATAAAACATATAGTTACTATTCTTAAAATTAGCAATTATATAGATATATATATAAAATATTGCTTAAAACAAAATATAATCATTAAATAGCAATCAATTATTATTTAAGTTGAAGTGTGTTTCTGTATAATTTATGAGATGATCATGACATAATATTATTTTCATTGTCAAAATATCACTATGCGGTTAGATTAATTTTAAATTTAGTGTAAAGCATCTAGAGTTTGTGCCAAATTCATACATTATAGACACGTGATAGAAGTAATAATCAGATAGTCCTATTATATATCACACATATTATGTCGTTTTTTCAATGACGTGTATTGTATTTTAGAAAGCTGTTTAATTTAATAGACCATCAAATTGTTTATTAATTATTAAATTATTAGTTCCTCTTTCTTTTTTTTTTACCAACGAAAATCAAGTTAATATTTTTTGAATAAATTATTATTTAAATTGTATACGTATAAATTATTTAGTGGTAAAAACACATAAAAAAAAAATAAAAAAAAATTGAGTATACAAATGTGAATATTTGATACAATAATTATTTGTAAATAATATGTGATTCTAAAAATAAACTACGGAATAGCAGTTATTAATTATAACAGATGTGTGTAAAAACCATTCTGAACAATATAACAATCTTATTTAATATTTATTATATTTATGTACATTGTACATATACTTCATGTAGATTAGTGTATTGTATTAGGTATTTTAAAATATATAAATGTAGTTAAAAGTATTGATTGTAATTATTATAGTAAAATACCTTAGATATAGGAAACTAAAAACTGTGAAAAAAGTTAGAAAATAATAAATGGCCGGGATTTAAGTACAAAAACTGCACAATATTGAAATTTATTTTATTTGACTTAAGCCGATCAAAATGTATTTTAGAAAAATCCTGAGTGTCAATACATGAATTATTGAGTCAAGCGTTGAAATGTATTGTATTCAATATATCAAATAATTCATTTGTTTAGTAACAAAATTACCAAATTGCTCTTTTTTCCTACTATAATTTGCCATTATGCTTAAGTTATAACGTCGTATTATCAGTTTCATGATAGTTAAATATTCATCATGTAACTTATAAATACTAATTTATCGGATAAGAAGATTACCTCTCATTAGTATGGGAACATAAATTATTTCGGCTGTTATATTAATTATAATATTTACAGACAATTTACAACTATTAAACTGATCCATATTATTTAATAAATTGTCTGTAAGATTTTTTTTACGTAAGTTTTTTTTGTTTTTACCTATTTAATTACAAAAAATCTTACAATCAATAACTATTTAACATTAACTGTTAACACTATTCTAATAATCATATATAATAATTATACGGGGAAAAATTATTTGTTTTTTTAAAATTATTTCTATCACTTATTTCTTAATTTGTTTTCTCATTACTTTTATACCTTTACGTAGAATTTAAGTTGTTGTTGATTATTATTATTTTTTTTACTTTAGGTTTTGCTTTACTTAAGTACTTACTTTGTAATACTGTTCATATGTGTGCATTGAATAATATGGATTTATTTTCTTTACGAATACAATTTATTATTGATTAAAATAATACATATTATAGAAATTATTTTTAATTCAAATCTTAAATTATTATTGATGCTGATTGTTGGGTCGTTATAAATTTTAATATTATTTTAACTTCATATCTTTCACATTAAACACGTATTTGTATGATATATTATATAACTACAATACATAACGGCATTTTTTAATTAAGTTTTTTTTTCTATAACTTTCTGTTAATTTGTATGGTTATATAATTTCTGAGAAAAAAATTTAAGTATTAGAACTAAAAGTTTGTGTTTGTTATTTTTGGTATAGATCTATGAGTAATTTACAAGAGACGAAATATCTAGGTTGGCAAAATATTTGCTTTTTATTTTTTGAAGTATATAATTTATTTTTTAGCCTATTTCCATGATAAAAAAAAAAAAAATTAATATTATTACATTTATTTTGTATTTATTTTTATAACTTAAACCTAGTTAAGAAATATATTTTTTTTCTATAAAACGTTTGGTCCGTTATACAACCATCTGATTAGTGTTCATGAACAGATAATGGACTATTTCTTCACCATACAAATTAATATATTTTTTGAAGAAATAACCATATAGTCAACAAGATATAATTTTATTTGTTTCAAAACAAAATCTTATTAATTTTTGAGGTCAAATAATTCAATTACTATAATAATATATCTGTTTTTTAGATTTTAGAATGTTTAGAGAAATTTATAAATTATGTTAAATATTATGTTATTATTTGATTTATACACTCCACGATAATTTACCAAAATGTAATTTATTTTTGATTATTTAATATAAAAGTTAGTGCTTTGAAAAATTAAAAGTGTATACTATTTTATTTCATAAAAGGAGTGCAATTATTTTAATAGTAACTTAAAATATTTTTCACGAGAAAGTAGATAAATACTTTAGTTAACCTTATATGACTTTATAAATGTTCGTCACTGCTTTAAATTGAATATCAAGCTATATAATATATTATTTTTAGTTAAAAATTTTAACTTCAGATGTAAAATTAAAAACTTTGTATAATAAATATGTTTTTAAACAATAAATATTGTACTAATTTTATTTTATTTTTATAGTATGCAGTTTTGTTGTGCACAAACGATGTCACGAATTTGTTTCCTTTACCTGTCCCGGAGCCGACAAGGGACCTGATTCTGATGTAAGTAGTCCAATCATTATAATTCTTCTAACATAAACTTAACATTGTTTTTTTTCTGAATTGACAATTTTTTTACAAACATAATGTGCAGGACGACCACTATACATTTAGATCAGATTATTTAGACTGCTAATATGATAGACTAATATTGTAATTAATATATTATAGAATAAAATACATTACGTTAAGTCATGTTATGTAGCAATCTAAAAGATATCTTGCATTCAGTGTTTTTTATCATTTATTGTAGAACGGCGGCTAGTATAGGCAATATTAATACACTGATGTTATCGATTCAACAAAACGTATTTATTAGTAAATAATAATTATGTATTGAAAATACAATAAAATAATCAATTGATACTATTAGTATTAAAAAAATATATATTTTTGATATTAAACTGATTAAATTGTTCTTAGTATTTTTTTTTATTTTAATTTATGGCTAATCGTTAGTACAATGTAATATAATATGTATTTTTTAAATTTAAGTTTAATTAAAGTTAAATGTTTTAAATAATGAATTCAAACTCTTATTAAATTATATATTTAAAATAAATACACAATATTTTGTATTAACAGTGATTAGTTTTAATTAAATAATTAAATTAAAAAAAAAAAAAAACATAAATACTAGTTTAAATTCTAGGTTTACTTCAAATTCTTTACACCAGTAGATTTTTTTATATTAATTAAATATTTATGTTCTAAAATTAAAAAAAAAGTGCTTGTACAATTTAGCTTTATTTTTCATAAATATTGAATAAAATAATATAATTTATTTTAAAATTTCGTTTACCCGAGAATTGTCATATTTTTTTTTACGGCAAGTTCTGTGATATAAATAAAGACAATAAGGAACCTTAAAAAATAAAAATAAATATTTTTTATAGTTAAATTACATTTTTTTATTGTTTATTGATGTATTTTTAACATATGTTAATTTATAAGTTATAATTAATATTTATATTATTATTAATATATAGTTACAAAATTATATAATAATATTTATTATTTATTTTAATAATTAAAGTTATTAAAGAGCTTTTGATAAAATTCTATTTGGTGTTACAGTTAAAAATATTTTTGATTTTATTTTAATCCATATTATTTAACTTTTATTTCTTACAAAGACATTTCGTTAATAAAAAAAATAGAAATGAAAATTCCTAACATTTTTCGATTATTGTTGTCATTTAATTTACAATTTTAAAATTGTTTTGAATATGTTTTACTGAATTAACTACTGTGGTGTATATTTGTTTAGCCGTTATGTATTGAAAATCACACTGTTATAGAATTTAAGTTATACAATTTTCAGTTTTAATTTTATAATGTCCTCTGAAGCAATCATGTCTTTATGATATATGTATGCTACAGATTTTCGAGATTGTAGGGTTAGAATTGGGTCATGTCTTTGGTGGTAAAAGTACGCACATTAAAAAGGTGTAAGCTTGCTAGCGACCACATAGAGGCACGCGTTGTTGTAAAACGGCGATCGATGAATGAGCTCAACAGATGGCAACATGCGTGCAATATGTCCGACCTACAATATTATAATATTGTGTGTATTATTGGTATAGCGTATTATTTATAAAGTGTCTAACATTTAAGCTTAGTTCAATTTATTATTTTTATATATAAAGTTATTTAATTTGTTTTCTGATAAACTTATTGTCTAAGTGCCGTTTTTGTTAAAATTTATTATTGAATGCTAAATTTCGGAATAACTTTTTTACGTAAATGTACATAATTATATTAATTTATCTTAGATTTCACATACATAAACGTGTATTTTTAATCATAGAACTTGCAATTATTTTTAATAATTTAGCATACCTAATGACTAAGACTAAAAATGTTGTACCCTAAAAAAAATCATAAAATAAACATGCATTTGTGCCCTAAAATATGTCCTAAAAATAGGAAAATAGGTTTTATAATTTTTTATTTCAATTATAACATAAAAATTATCTTTTTGTGTACGTATAAAAAACAGCATTTTCTTTTTATATTTTATTTTATGATATAATTTATTCACTTCTAAATGATGTTTAAATAGTTATTGAAATTATTCCTTAAATGCAATGAAGTTTTTGTTCATTTTTAATTTTTTTTTTTTTTTTTAGTTTTATTTATTATTTAGTTTATTTGATGTTTTAATTTATTTATTTTATAAATTTATGACTCTATATGATTAATAAACTTATACAATCTTTTACAAGTGACTTATGTGAAACAGCCGTCTATTTTGTATGCGATTTTCTTTATATGTGTGAATTATATTCAGTTTTTTTCCAAAAATGTTCAAGTTTAATAAAAATTATATAAAACTGAAAGTATGTTTTTAAAATATGAATAATGCTTTATTTTTTTTAATAGTGTTAATAGATTTATATAGATAAGTTATTTCAAATGTGTTTTAATTTAAATATTCACTTATTTTATAATATTTGTTTATATGTGGGTACTTGAATTTATTACATTGACATAAATTATCTTTTTATGTTTTTGAAGTAAATAAGATATTTTTAAAATTTTATTATCATTTGTTTTTTTATGTGTATAAGACATATTACATTTTAAAGGATGGAAATTCAGTGTTTTCCTTCAAGGATTAAGAATACTTTTAATTTTAATTTTAATAGTAATTATTAATTTTTCTTTTATATAAATTATTATTGTTATAGTTTAGTATAGACTTATTATTATAATTAAGTTATACAATTTTATGTTGTCCAGTACACATTTATCAGCTCTTTCATTAATTATACACATTTTAAGTTAAGTTATGCCATTTAAATAATTTAGTCGAATTAATTATTATTTAATGCTCTTAAAACATTAACTGTATTTTAAAGTGTATGTTAATGTGTAAATGTTTATGATATAAATGTTGTACTATACACTTTATTTTTTTTTAAATAATGTTTTTACATTTTTATTTTTATTTTTTTTTTTTTTAGTATATTACCGTGGCAGTCAATTTTTTTTTTTTATTACAAATATTATCAATTTATTAAAATTATTACCGTATAATGTATATTTATTTTTTAAAATACATGTTTAATTATAAAATAGTTTAAAAATATAAATAATATCAAAAGTTGAATAAATAATTTAGGACCTTTAATTAAAATACAATAACTTTTATTTTTAGTTAAGTCTTGAATCTTTGAAAATATAATTTTAAAACGGTGCATGAATTGAAAAATAATTGCAAATATTTATTGCTAATTTTTTTAAATATAATTTTATATAAAAAGAAATGTATTCTGTAATTTTTTATGGATTGTATTAAGTATTATATTTTTATCAAATAATTTATAATAGAATTATATAGAGACGATATAATTTTTAAAATACCTTAGTGTTATTGAAGCTATTAATAAGTTCTCGTTTTTTTTTAAATTTATGTTATTTTGTATGGTCAAAAAGTTTAAAAATGTAATATAAGATTTTTCATAATTTTTTCTTGGACCAGATAAAAAAAAAAAAAAATCAAATCGAATATTCATATACTATTAACCATAATTACAGTTAGTTTTATAGCTATTTAAAATTTAAAATGTTCAGACTTGTTAAATTGTATTAAAATTTCCAAATAATATATTTAAATAGTATTTAATGATATTATTTATTTTTATACTTTGATCGTAAATATTATAAATTATTATACATTTTTGTTTAGTAATAATTTTTTTTGTGTTAGTTAGTTATTTTGTATGTCTCATTTTACACATCGACATCGTAAAATCGCTCATTTCATGAACTAAATTTCCAGATAATGAAATTTAATTTGTCTAGAGGGAATTTTCATGAAAATACATTATATGGAGATACATTTCATGAAATGGACAATACCTGCATTATACACTTAGTATAATTATTATAAGATAAATTATTGTAAGTTATTTAATAGTAAATTGCATTGTGTTTTATTAAACAAATTTTGTATTATTTATAAATTTAATTGATAATTATACATTAATTTAAAGTTATGATAACTATATATTTTTTTATCTCATTATTAATTTTTGCTTGGTGATTGATTATGATATCGACTGTTACATAGTATTTTATTTTTGAAACTTGTACACATATTTGATTGGCAAGAATTTTTTTAGTAATTTCCTGCATTACATGTTTTATTGTAATCAATTTTATCAATAGTGACAAATTGAGTTGTTGGTTATTTCAAACATTCATTACAAAACCATTATTTAATTAAATCATAATTTGTTCCAAGTTTGTGTAATCCTTTTTGTATTTGTTCCGTGATAGTAATTATGTTTGGCGGATCTGTAGGTTCCCTATAAACTTTTGGTACTTCCTTATACGCATCGATTAATATCAAAAATGTCTGTTTTTTTTTTTTTTGATTAAAATTTAAAACACATTATAATTTTTTTTAATTATCTGTCTTTTCAATTTTTTTCTGCAGCTTTAATTTGACCTTCATGTCCAAATTAACGCTAACTTTGTATTTTTTGATTTGAATTAAATAATTGACAAATAATTTTATTTTTTCCATCAATCTTTGGTTATAGTAAATTCTCATCAATTTTATATATACCTATTATTAGTTATTGAGCATTCTTCAAATTATTTGACCAAAGATATATTTTCGAGATCTTCTTTCGCTATTTGTTTTTTTAACAGATCAGATGAACAATTTTATATACCTATTCCAATTTTCAGTAAATTCCTAAATTAAACTTAATAAGAACTACATTCAATTGTTCGATGGAATGATCAAAATTTAATTTAATACCCTTCTTTTTTGATATATTAACTGTCAATGCTCGTAATATGAGTTTTCATTTTGGTCAGATCTCTCAATATTTCTCTGACTTTAAAAGTGTCTAGGGTGACCATGCAAGATCTTTCAGCGTTTTCTTTCATATAATTTAAAGTACGAGTATTTTTATTAGTATTGATAAGTATAGTTTAAATTATTTATAAATAATACTTATGGTTTAATAAAATATAATACCATT